TCATCGGGGAAGGATGGGATCACTAGCATGGTCTGAAATCAGAAATGTGTTCCTGGAAAGAAGAGGAGAGAAGGAGAGGGAAAGATAAATTGGGGATGAAGAAAGAACAAGATGATGGTGGCAAGTCTAGAGTTCCTCCGTACTGTGGAAACCAGAAAGGACTAGAGTAAAGAAAAGAGCCAGGGAATGTAGCCAGGATGCTGTTGCCAGGATCCAGGACAAGAAGAGAAGTACGTGGACTGGAACCAACATGGAAATGGAGACATAGAAGATGCAGATACACGTACTTTTCGAAAGCAAATCAATATAACTTGGGGCCTTCAGAAGATATAGGAGATAAAAAATAAAAAATGAATAAAGTTTCAAAGTAGGGAGAATGGCACAATGATGGTACTTCAGGAAGTAATAAAGAGACAAATGAGGTGATATTTCAAGAGAAAAAGTATGAATTCAATTTTGTCATGTTGAGTTTGAGGTAATGACGACACAGTGAAAATGTTAACAATTTCTCTTATGTATTCATTCAGCACACATTCACTTGGGGCCACTATGTACCAGATGCTAGCCTGGGGGCTGGGGCAATAATGGTGGGCAAGATACACATGGTCCCTGCCCTCACCAAGCTTAAAACTGACACGGCAAGACCAATGGGTAACAAGGTAGTGGGCTCAACCCAGTGAGAATTCACAGACATTGAATATACCCACTTCCTAACAACTTGTGGGGGAAAAAATAAAAGACAAGAGCCTGCTCTGGACTGGCCAAAAAGGAAAGCCCTCATTCTCCATTAAGAGCAAATAAACACAACATGAGTGGTAGAAAATGTGAAAATGATTTCTAAACAAATCAAAGATTTAATAAGTTGGCAAAGGAGTAAGAACTAAAGCAATCTTGAAAGCTTTAACAAGTTGGAAACTTGGAAAGGAAAAAATTTGCTATTAATTGTGAAATAAATTTTGGTTTAAAACATGTTTTATCCTTCTTCAGGGCCAATTTGAAAACTTTCTTTCAAATTGAGGCTATATTGAGGACAAATGTATGTACACTCTTCCATTCAAAGCCCATTAAAAATAAAAACTGTAAATGAAGCACATCTGCTTTCCAATATGAACTTAGAAAAGGATTTAAAAACATGGGAGGCCCATACAGACCCTATGCAAATATGAATAGAAACATGCCACGAAGGATAAAGTGACATTTCATCGATATTTCCAAGCTTAAAGCAAAACAAAAAGTGAGAGTTTTCTCACCGGAAACTTATTGCCCAAGAGCTTTGATAGAGAAAGTCCAAAGTCAAGGTGTAAAGAAAAAACGACGATACATTATTTGCATAGGATATGTGAGACTGTACAACTGTAAAATGATTTTTAAACATCAGAGACTGTATAGAGGGTGCCAAATATCAATGGATTAAAATGACACCAGTTGGTGTTCCTATAGCAAGCCAAGAGCATTCAGATCCCAACAGTTTTGCAGGAAGATGTTCCTGAGGGAATACTTTGGCTGTATTAATCTTCCAATTTTTAAGTAGTAATCATCCCCTGTAGCTATTATTGCTGATTCTATCCTACTGGATTAGTCTAAACTCTTTTAAAAATCTGCATGAACATATGAAGGCAGATTTTTCCAAGTCTGCTTTTAATTACATACATTTGCAGTTCTAGTAGATTTATTCGGGTGCTCATAATGTGTGCAGTTATTTCCAAAGCTTTTAAATAAAAAGACTATTGTTTTTTCCTCGAACACCACAAAGACTTTAAACGTCAGCTCTTTATTAGCTGTGCTAACTAGAAAGAAAGGAGGCGTGGGTAAATGAAATATACAAGTACTCCAAATGCTACTTTTTGGTCATTACTGTTTAATTCTTCCCTTTAAGTCATGTCCTAACAGTTCCCTATTTCAGTCAAAAATACCTTGATTTTCCCACTCAACTCAGGTTTGAAAGTATACAAGCATCTTGCACCAACCTGTTATTGTATCTTTCAAAAGACTTTGTTCAAAATGGAATTACTGATTTTGAATATTGTGATTTGACATGCATAATGCCATCCATTTGATGAGAACAGAGCCTGGATGTGCATGCAAGGGGGTGAGGGTGAGATCCGGTGTGATCTGAATAGTTTGGGCCTTAGAGTTGACTGCCTGGGTTAAAATCCTAGCTCCGTTAGCTCATCTGTCCTTCCCTTCTCTGTATTCATTATCTCCTGTACTATTAAACCATAACATCTATCAGTTAGAATCAATCAGATAAATTCTTTCACGGAAGGGTCAGTAGAACCAGGTGAAATTAAAGGAAAGGCTTGAGGGTAGGGGAGGAAATTATATCCCAAAAACAAGCAGACTCAAAGATTTATCAAACAAGTTGAATAACTATAAAAATCAGGTTGCATTTTGCTGTAAGAATACCAAATTAACTTCCTTTTCTTCTCCCTTTCTTCCTTTCTTCCCTCCCTCTTTTTCTTCTTTTTTTATAAGATAATTTTCTTAAAAGGAAAAGAAAAAAGTAATCCATAAATGTTTATTTTCTCAGCATTGGCACCCTGGACTAATCCACTAGAAACTGTAATTATCATAAGAAAGTATGTTCTTTCAAGAGTCCATTTTCCAAACAAAATAAGTCATGGGATTAGTGGTGGGTGAAATAAGGAATATTTCAGATTCTTTGAAAAATTTAAAATTATTTTTCCAAAAATTGGGTTTTGGAAATATCTTCTACATGCCCTTTTCAAAGTATTTATCCCTTGAGAAACATGGACATATGAATAAAAAATTGATTTTTTTTAAGTCTAGATTTCCAAATCAAAGTCAGATGAAAGGTACTTCTGAGAACATATAAACACTTTTAAAGGTCTTTCTTGTTAGTTCAATTTAGACAAAAATAAATAAAACACTACAAAAAATATACACACGGCCAACAAATGCATGAAAAAGTGTTCAACATCCTTAATACAAGGGAAATACATATTAAAACTAATGAGATACTACTATACTAGAATAGCTAAAATGAGAAATGCTGGCAACACAAAATGCTGATTAGGATGAAGAACAACCAGAACTTTCATCTACTGCTTGTGTGACCAAAGATAAGAAAAGTTAGGCAAAACATATTAACAGCTAAATATACATCTTTCTGTAACCAGCAATTCCACTTTTAGGTATTTATCTAAGAGAAATTAAAGTGTATGCCCACAAAATCTTATACAGAAATGTTTATAAAGTCTATATTCATAAAAATCAAAATTCAACACAATTCAAGTGTCCATCAGCAGGAGTATGAATAAACAAACTTTAGAATATTTCAAATACTACTACTCAGGAATAAAAAAGGAATGAACTATTGATTGTTTAAATGTCATGAATGAATCTCAAAAGCATAATGAAAGAAGACAAACAAAAGCCCATAGTATACGATTCCACGTATATGGAGTTCTAGAGTAGGCAAAACTAATCTATGGTAATGGAAATCAAAACCTTCCGGAGGAAGGTACTTTTCAGGGTGATAAAAATGGTCTATTTCTTGATGGGTATGGGATACATGGTTTTACGCAATGTCCTGACTCAAATTGTACACTAAGATCTATGTATTTTACTATGTTTAAATCAAACCTCAATAAAATTTTATTAAAAAATGAAAAAACTTCTAAAATTTAAAAATCGCTTTGAATATATTTAAAACATATATCACTTTGAATATATTTAAACTTTAAAAATAAAATGTCTTCATTGAAGCTTGAAAATTTTGAATGCTTGTCCAGATGAAAATTTCTGAATTTCAAATAGTAAACATTTTGATAAAAAAATACCATTTTATAACCAATTTAGAATCATGACTCAGCATTCATGCACTGTGCCAAATACATGCATTGAATGGATGGATGGATGGATGGCAGTAATTTATTTTATTTTTATTTGTTTTTTTAATTTCAGGATATTATGAGGGTACAAACATTTCGGTTATGTCTTTGCCTCACCCAAGGGAGGATTAGAGGCATGCCCTTCCCCTCTGCAATGCTCACCGCGTCCATTAGTTGTGAGTTTACCTCCCCCAAACCCCTAATCCCTGGAGAATATTACTACCATGTGAGCACCATAGTTTTGATCAGTCAGTGATGATGGCAGTAATTTAAAAAAAAAAAATACTTAGATTTTTCTTATATGTTCTGCCCCAGATGACGATGGTTTCATCTTCAACTCTGTGCTTTTTCTCTGCCTACATGTTTCCCTGTGAGTCTTTCCAGTTTTCAAAGGCAGTGATTCTCAATCATCAGCAGCAGCAGAATCACTTGGAAGTCTTGTTAAAACACAACCAGCTGGCCCCACCCTAGAGTTCCTGCTTCAGTAGGTCTGGAGGGAGACTGGAGAATTTGCCTGGCTGTACATGGTGCCTCAAGCTTGTAGTCCCAGCTACTTCGAAAGCTGAGGCGGGAAAGATAACTCGAGCCCAGGGGTTCAAGGCTGAAGTGAGCTATGATCACGCCACTGTATTTCCAGCCTGGGTGATAGAGTGAGACCCTGGTCTTAAAAAAAAAAAAAAGAATTTTGACAAGTTTACAAGTGATAACGATGCTGCCTGCTTTGGGGACCACACTTGGAGAACTACTGCTTTAAGCAGTTCTTCAACTGTCCGATTCCAATCACCTCTCCACCTTTTAACAGCCTTTTCTAACTGCCTTCAGCCCCATTCTCTGAGCTTTGATTGTACTTGTCATTGATACTGCCAACTTGCTATTTGACTCCTTCACCCTTGCAGTTTATTATTTTGGGAAAAATACTTGTTTGTGTTTTCTCTTCAGGTGGATGATAATTTTCTCACGGGTAAGGCTCCTGACTTATGTATATTTGTTCACTTAACACCCAGAATGGGGTGCACAGAGAATAGGTGATAAGGAAATGCTAACAGTCCTGATATTTATACATTCTTCTAAAGCATGTACAGATACTATTAAAAACAATTGCTAATTTTCAAATGAAAACCAAAATTTTCCATTATGGTGAATTACCTGTCATTGGGACAGTGACTTGGCAAAGTCCAATCATGGTGTGGATTGATGAGGAAACCCCAGGACAGGAAGACCGAGCTTGGTGTCAGAGTGCCAACCACCAGCTGGAGAGGTTTGCGAGAACGAGTTTTACCTACGGAGGCAGCATACAGGTTAATTCTGGAAACATCTGGTATAATTTGAGTAAAATGCATAACGATGACTTGATAAGATGATGAAAAGTGTGAAAACATCAAGTTCCTTTTCATTTCATTTTGATCATTGTATGACACTGGCCTTAGAAATTATTTTTCAGTTTGTTATGACCAGCTCAGGAAATTGTTTCATCTTGCTCAGGATATAATACCCCACCTTTCCTTTCAGGCAACAGATATAATTTTTGTTTTTGTAATCTGCATTTGGGAATAATGTAATGACTAATGGATTATTAATAGCTTCCATTTTATATTTGTATCTGCCACATACATTTTAATTAATCATTTTGAAGATTCAAACTTAGTAAAATAATTATTTGGTCATGCAAGACTTAGGTTCCCTAGGAAAAGAAAAGTATATATTTCATTTCTAAATGTCATTATCTTCATACATTGTGAGCTAAGCCAGTAATGTAGTAAAAATAAAATTAGATTATGATTGAGGGGACCTGGATTTGAGTTTTGACTTTGCTCTTAGTGTGACTTTGGACACCCCTGAAACTTCTCGGGGCCTTATTTTTCATTTGTAAAATGAATGAGATCATTGCATTACATTAGTGAAAATTAACTCAGGGATTAAAAAAGAATATCAGAATCACCTCGGGGCTTGTTCAAACTCTGTGTGCCCCCTACCTTCCCTCCAGATGCTAATCTGCCCTCCTTGGAGGCCAGACATAGACCATTCGAATCACTATCATATGAGGCACTATTACAGGTGGATCTGGAATAATTTACAGAGAAGAATAAACACATGTTTGCAACCAACAATAACTATTCTTGAAAATTATTTTAAACATCTTTAAAAAGTCATCTGTCCTACCATGAGACAATTTGCCACCACTAGAATATGTGTATTCTGGGTTCTGAAGGTTTCTTACTGGAATAACAATTTACAGAATTTATATCTGACAAAAGCAACACACATGGCACAGTTTTCAAGAGCATTTGAAATGAAATTATAAAGTGCTACTCAGGTGTGATCATGCTCTTGGAACCCATGGAACCATATTTATGCTTGACTTTATTGTTCAATATTTTAGAATACAGTCTTAAAATATTGAGAGTATATTTATTTTCAAGTGTGTGGAAAACTGCCTGGACAACTCTCACTAATAAGTTGTAAGGAGTGATTGAAATTTCCCTTTTGCTTTGGAATAAGAGGCCAGGAAAAAGAAATGTGTATTTTTCTAAATGCTTAACACTCAATTCTGTTTTTAAAAGAAGTGGAAATCAACAGGAGAGGGGATTGTGGCAATTGATTGCTGGCAACCAGGTTTGGACTTATACATCTAGGAGCCCGAGTATAGAGCTACAAAGGGCCCTTTGTTCGGTATAATTGAATAGCTGAATGCTCTCCCTCCCATCTTATCCCTATAGAAAACTATAGCAAACAAAAAAAAATCCTTTCTTGTGTGTGATATCCAGTGTACCATAAAGAAGAAACATGATTAGGAGATCATAATTTGTAAATCAGTTCACCTTAGAAAAACAATAGCAAAATGTTGTGATCAATTCTTAGCTACAGAGTTAGGAAGAAGCAACATCAGATGGAAAAGCATATTCACAGCTTCCACTAGTCCTTCCTTACAGCAATGGCCAGCTTATTTGAGAAGATCTGAGAAGATTTAGTAGCAAAATCACATTGTTGGATTTTAATCTTCCTTTAGTTATGTAGAAAGTTTCTATTTATTTATTCTCGTGTTATCTACTTTCCTATTTCAAGTCTTCCTAGGCCGGGGAAGATGGGTGTTGCTGTTGTTATTGTTATTTTATGAAAGAGGTCCTTCCTCTATGTTTGGGTAGTGTGTAGAAGAGGTTTAGAAGGGAGAGATAAGGAGTAAATAATACCTAAGTTCCAATCCATCTAATACACAAAAATGGGTTATCCTTTTGAGACGTAAACAGTCTCCTTAAGCAAGTTTAGACATAAAACTCTGCCCTTAAAGTCTGAAAGGCACAAGAGTGGGCATGAGTCCACACACTGCAGAATAGAATAGGCTAATAGGAGCTGACCCCAAATGAGCACCCACAGTGGGCCAGGCGCTGTCATTGACTCATTTAATCCTCACAGCAACTGGATTACACAGCAAAACCCAGGAGGAGAGAGGTTCAATAATTTGTGTCAATCCCTGCAGTTTGCAGTTGGTGGTGCCAGGAGACCGTAAGCAGTCTCTACTGCCAGGCGGTGCAACTTCCCCACAGGGTAGACTGTTGACCAAGGGCCTAAATCTCCCACTCTGCATTCCTAAGGCATTTGGTTTCCATGGGTAGAAAAAAGATCAAAAGTCATGGTTTCAAATTGATAAAAGGAAAAAAAAAAAAGTCAATGAAAATGACTATACCTGAGCATGACTTCTTTTGACTTGGAGGGGGAGCAGGTCGCACGACTATCAGATATTTCGGCTCTGCATCTGGAAACAATAACATTATTTATCAGAAAAATCCTTTGAGAACCACCATTGGAGGCAGCACACCCATGCCCTGACTCAGCATTTCCTGGAGTTAGTCACCCTCCGCAACCGTAGCGCCTGTGAGTGAGAGGACCCAGGAATCCAAAAAGTTAATGCTTCCTGAGAAGCCCATTGAGTCTATTAAGTTTTTTAAATGAAAATTAAGACCAGATTTTCAAAACCAAATGGGCGAGGGTGAGGGATAAGTCTTAAAAGAATCCTGCTAGACACAGATTTTATGCCACGTTTTCATGAATGCTTTTCTCTACAAAGAGATTTTTTAAAGATAAGATTATGTCCATTCTGTTAGCCTGCTCCTCAGAGGGTCAAGCCTGATGCTCCAAGATGAGAGAAGCAAAATCCTCCACAAGACATGTAAGTCTTACCTACTGCATGATGTGACACGGCTCACTGTTCTGGAAGCATGAATATTTACAATGCCCTACCTAGATTTTATCCTATTTGTATAATCTCTCAGCCTGTCTTCATATCCAGTATATTTTAATGAACAATTTATAGGTTAGTATTCTTATCACTTGAACACATATCAGTGAAATATATAGAAATTCTTAAAAATATTTAGGCTTTAAATAAAATTATGTTAATGCAATCAATGTGTACTAACTCAATAAGGGGCTGTAATTTATGAAATTTTTTTAGAAAATTATTATTTCCAAGAAGAATGGTTGTTTAAACATTGTAAATAAACCAAATGTATCTAAGGCATACAAAATAGCCTTTTATAAGCAGCTTTACTGGATTAACCAGTTGAAGAGTATTATTTACAATATTTCTTCAGGAACTTTGGACCCTGAAACTCACGCCATACCAGATTTCATTCGGATGCTACGGTCAACCGGAGCTCACCCCTACTTACTCAGGCAGACGTCCTGTCTTTGTTTTGTTTTCATTCTGGGTTCAAACATCTCCGCTGCGTGCGTTTAGAACAGAGGTTTTCTCTCCTGAGGCTTTGCAGAGCTGATTGCATTTTCAGAGGGAGACAACCTGGCAACTCAACTGCTTTTAATGACTTGTGTCTTTGTTTTCTTCTGGACACCCCGCACAGTGCTATTTGCTATAAACTGCCTCAGTAATTATCACAAAATAAAGATACTCAGGCAGCCTCTTGAACTCCCCTCAGACCCTTGCTGATGACTGTACAGTTGCCTCAGGGCCACCACGCAGAACAAGCAGCGTTCATTCTATTCCAGAGTCTTGTGTGCACGAAAGCCCATCTTACTGAGTGGGGCTCCTGTAGGGAATGCTTGACCCAAATCAAACAAACAAGTTCCCTAGTAGGAATCCAATAACAATTCCCTGGTATTTTGGGAGACAAAGAGCAATAAACTACCATGTACTGAGTGTTGCTTTCTACGTGCAGGCTACTGTATTAAGATCGTTACATTTATAACTTAATTATTCCTCATGGCAATCCTACCTGGAACCTGCTATTATCACCCCATTTTGTAGATGGGATCACTGAGGCAGGGTCATCTTCATGGGCATACGACATACATAGTTGCACAGGGCCCCATGCTCAGAAGGGTCCCGTGCTTGAATTCATGCCCTGCTGTCACCATCTTGAAATTCTTACTACTTGTATCTTTGAACTCATGTTTTGAAAGGGAAGTCTGATGGGACAACAGAGCGTGCAGGTGAGCAGAGGAGATAGAAACAACATGCACCTCTGCAGTTCTTGCCTCCCCATTCACATAGGGCATTCAAGGTGCTCCTTTAGCATTGAGTTCCAAAGGAACCCATATGTGTGGAACTTCAGCAAGACTCAAAGGCAGAACAAGGTAAGCATGCCACACCTACGGCTGAGTAAAGGGGCAGGGAGGGAGGACTAAGAGCTCTGAGAGGCCACACTTTCCATTCTAACCAGAACTTGCTTCAAATGCAGAAGGAAGGAAATGGCATTTTAAGAAATACAAATAACCAAGGAACTCTATCATATCCTTTTTTTTTTTTTCATGCACTACTTTACATTAGCCAACCACTTACACTGATGCCACTCCGCATTAACTAACCGCTATGCTGAAACAATGGCACGGGAGGAAAGGGAAATAGAGCATCCCATAGTACCTTTCTAGTTCTCCTCATTTGTAAGTCAAAAAAAGACTGTTGGTTAGAATATGCACATATCAAGTAGTGAAATAAAAAATGGAGTTTTGTTTAGCATTTCTGCTACTAAGAACAAAATACATATGTATGTATGAACTACAAAGTACAAATTGTGCAATTTCAGTGATTCCACTTAGGAGTTAAAGGCTTTCACACTTGCATTTAAAACAGGCATTGCATAGTAGAAAAGGTAAACTTCATGCTAATAATTTTAAATTTTAATTTTTCTTTACTTAGAATGACATTAAATAGCAAATAAAATATCATGACAAGCTAAGAGGAGGGACCATGGGAGAAAGGAAAAAGCTTTATATTTTAGTATCTTTAATGACAATTATTTCCCTGTTTTTCCAACCAGGGGTCTTTCATTTTTATTTTGTACTTGGCCCTGCAAATTATGTAACTGTCTTAATCAAGTCCACAAAATGCCCTTTTAATAAATCTCAGGAATTCAGTTCTAGAAAACAAAGATAAACCCCTAGTTTTCCTGAATTGTTCTCATTGAGGCAGAGAGCTAACCTTTTAGTTCCTTTCTTGATACTGATTAATTATGCCAACTAGTTTTTTTTTAAAAAAAAAGATCTAGGAAAATAACATATTCAGAAGCCAAAGATAGTGCCATGATTCAAGACATACAGTTATATGAGCAATTTAAAAACACTTTTTGTTATT